TCAGTAGATGAATGGATTAGAAAACTGTGGTACATCTACACGATGGAATACTATGCTGCTGTAAAAAAGATGAACTCTTCCTATTTGCAACGGCATGGATGGAACTGGAGAGCATTATGCTAAGTGAAATAAGCCAGTCAATGAAGGAAAAACACCACATGATCTCACTCACTCATGGATAAGAAAGACCATTATGAACTTATGAACAAACATAGATACAGAGGCAAAGCAGCATCAAACAGACTGTCAAACTACAGCGGGAAGAGATCAACCAAAGGAGTTGTATGCATGCATATAAGCATAACCAATGGACATAAGACACTGGGGGTTAGGGGAGGCTGGGGAATTGTTAAGGGCGGGGAAAAAGGGGGACATATGTAATACTCTTTGTAATACTTTAAGCAATTAAACAATTAAAATAATTCAATACATAAGTAGCTTGTGTTTGAGGGGTGTTTAAGCATGTATGTGATCCTCATAACACTTGCATAGATCCATGTTGTAGAATACTGCAGAAAGAGATGTGTAGAGGAATACGTGATGTAAAAATGACACAAAGGAGTAGATAGCCAGACTAAGAAGTCTGATGAAATGACAAGTCAGCAAAGTGTCAAGTGTGAAAAAAGAAAGGTATAAATTAGGTGTGGCCATTGGAACCCGCACCTAACACCATTGTACAGGAGCAGGTTCCTGGTACAATCTGAACACCATCCTTATGTCATACCTTCCCCCAGTTGCCACTCAGCCAGGCCAGGCATTCTCTAGGATCACCCTGTACGTTCACCCTGGAAAAAACCAAGGTTCTCCCTGCTCCTCCTTCTCTAAAAATATGTACAAACAAAATATTCCAAGTATCAATGAAAGACAACAGAGGTGAGCAGCCATCACTTGCCCATAGCATTCGGTTTGCAATAGTATTCACAGGTAATATTACAAACAACAATGGAACGAGGGTCTTACAAGAACAGCCTTGGTGCATGTATATAAAGACGATATCTGGCACAGATATTCATGAAGGTCCTTGTCTACAGGAAAGGTGCAGAAGTGGAAGCCATGGATCTGGATATAGTCACCCTCCCTGGGAGTGGAAGAGCAGGAGGGACCCGTTAAGCTGTCTGTAAGACTGCTGACACCCAGACTCTTCCTGTAGTTTCTGAGGCAACTGGTGTTAGGGAGGTTTATGGAGTCTATTGCTCAGGGCTCTCTGCAGAGCTCAGCACTGGCATCCACAGCCCATTGACAAGACAGTGGAGGAAATGAGCAGAGCCCATGGTCTGGCTTTGAGAGAGAGAGAGTGCTAAGTCTGGAGAATAAATAAAGAGTGGGCATCACTTTAGGACACTAGGAGAGATTTGAAGATCTTACCTACGAATGATACAAGTGCAAACACTTCCAGCATCACATCACAGTACAGATGTCTCTGAGCATCGTCAAGGAGCCCCCACTCCTCCTGCGAGAAGGCAATGGCCACGTCCTCAAAGTTCATCTCCTGTTATAATGGAGACAGTACATCCCATGATAAGATTCTCTCTTGAGATTCCAAGTTTGCCATACTCCCCACCCTGCACATCCATATGTTCCCCTACTCTCCACATCAGAGAAGATAGTAGGCCTTGATGCCACTGAAGTCCATCTCTCCTTATACTGATGCTGTGTCTTCTCACAATAATAAAGGCAGACGAACAGATACAAGATACCTGTCTTCTGATCTCCAAATGTGAGTCACACTGCCTCCTTTAATAACAGTGGGTGTCAGGAACAGAGGGTAAGAAGAGATGTTGCACATAATGGGAATGTGATGGATTTGACACTGATATTGTCAGGCAATACCCAGGCTGTCCTCCAAATTGTGCCTCCATGACACCGAACAACATGGTAATGCCCATTACACTTCTGACTCCAATCCCAGTTTGCTGAGGCCATTACTTTGCATTACCTGCTGCCCATAGTTCTTTGATCCACACTTGTCTCACAGCTTCATTCTCAAAGGCACAACTCCACTGGTAACACAAATAAGCCATGACAAGGACAGGGTGTTTTCTAATCAGCTTCTTTCTTAAAATTCTAGTTCACCACCTCTGTAATATATTTCTCTCTCACCTTTCTCTCTTCTCCTTTCACCATCATGGTGGGAATTTTCCAATGCAAGTGACACTGATGTATGCTATCTCATTCTTATTGTTCGCTGGGTCAGCACTCAGTAAGAAATGGCAGGTGGGCACATATATGGCACCTAAGCTCTGGACCTGGCATGTAGCACCAGAGCAACCCATATTGTTAGGAATTATCCTAAAATTACCCATATCCTATCATAAAGACACCATCAGAAATGGACTCCCAAAAAAAGATGGCGACCAGCCAGAAGGTAGGGAGTGTTTGTGGGAGAGTGAGGGAGCGATAGAGGAGTGTGTGGACGTGTGTGGTGTGTGTGAGTGGGTGAGAGCTAGGGACAGCTAGATTTTACAGGTCTTTCAAGGGGCTGGCAAACCGGTCAGTCTTAGACAGCGAAACCCTGCTGCCACCACAAACACTCCGGGGAGGACACCGCCGGCACAGAGACTGTGCCATCTTGAAGAACAGAACTGCTTGAGACTAGGATCCTAGCCTCGCTATTACCCAATCTGGTCTCAGTTGCAAACCAGGAGCCTACAGCCACTCGGGTAAAAGATCAACGACCACAGGACACCAAGACCCCAGGCACCCGGGCCGCATATTCCTGTGAGTCACAGAGCCAATCCCCCTCACCGCTACCCCCACGGCAGTGGCATAGGAACTGCCAGGCCCTCTCTACTCAAACAGACCTCTTTCCCATACACAGCAGTGGCAGCTCTACCTGAATTTGGGCCTGGGTGTGTGGACACGGGAAGTTAGTTTCCTGTGACCAGAATCCACACCCAAACAGGGAGGCTGCACTGAATTTGAGCCTAGGAGTGCAGATTCGGGAAATTTGTTTTCTGCGACCGACCCCAGAAGGTAGGCTGTGCTGAATTTGAGCCTTGGTGCACGATCTTGGGGAGTTTGATTTACACAACCAGATCCGACACCCATGCAAGGAGACAGCGTTGAATCTGAGCCTGGGGGCATGAACTCAGGAAACTTGTTTCCCACGACCAGACCCTGCAACCAACCAGGGAGGCAGAGCTGAATTTGAGCCTGGGCGCGCGAAATCCAGGAGTTTATTTCCGGTGACCAGACCCTGTGCCCATATAGGGAGGCAGTGCTGAATTTGAGCCTGGGTGATGGACACAGGGAGTTTGTTTCCTGCAGTGCACACTCACGTGACCAGACCCCAGGCCCACACTGGGGGGCAGTGCCAGCTGACTTTGATTCAGGGCAAGCACATATGGAAGGCTTTTTCCACAGGGCAGGAGTGGACCTTCTGCTGACACAGTGTGACTGTGCAACTCGGTTCCCCAAACAGACCAGGGACCCTGATTTTTCCATGCAAGAGGCAGCACCAGTGACTTGAATCTGTTTCTCATTGCACGCACCTGGGATCCCTGATTCCCAGGGCATTCACACTAAGAGCCAGTAACTCCAATTCTTGGCACATGCCCACACAGGGACCCTGATTCTCGGCGTGAGATCACACAAAGCAACAGAGACTCTGATACTTGATTCTCGGTGCAGACACAGGGGGTCTCTGACTCCTGAATCTAGCGCATGCCAGCGGGATCTCTGTTTCAGTGTGGTGCAGGCAGGGTCCCTAATTCTAATGTGCAGATGAGGCCACATTAAGTGCCTGTGAATGTGATCCTGGGTGAGCGTGGCTCCCACCAACCCATGGCAGCCACACACGTCTTGGTGTCAGCGTTCTTCAGTGACACTTGGGGAGTGTGATGCTCCCACTACACACGGCTCCCACTACACATGGCCAGCAACTTGACACTTGAACCTTCTGGTGATAGAATGGAGAGACAATAAAACAATCCCCAGAGGAAAGAAAAAGAGAAATCACCAAGAAAGGAAATAAGTGAAACAGAAGCATGCAACATGACCAAAAAAAGAATTCATAGAGTTCATACACCTGATGGATGAGAAAATCAGAATCCCAAAAGACCCACACCAAGACACGTCATAATTACAATGGCAAATGTTAACGAAAAGGAGAGACTCTTAAAGGCTGTAAGAGAGAGACAGAGAGTTACCTACAAAGGTTCCCCCATCAGTTATCAAATGATTACTCAACAGAAACACATCAAGCTAGAAGGGAATGGAAGGAGATATACAAAGTGATGGAAACAAAGGACTGAATCCAAGAATACTCTACCCAGCAAGACTATCAATCAAAATTAAAGGGGAAATCAGGGGCTTCACAGACAAAAAAATGCTAAGGGACTTTATCGCTACCAAGCCAGCAATGAAACAACTGCTAAAGGGAATGCTACAAAAAGAAGAAATAAAAAGGTAAGCAGGAACACAGGCACAAAAAAATAAAAAAGGCTACAAACAAGTACCTTTCAATAATAACTTTAATGCAAACGGACTAAATGCTCCAATCAAAATACATTAAGTGGCTGAATGGATAAGAAAAACACGACCCATATATATGCTGTCTACAAGAGATCCACATCAGAACACGGACTCACATAGACTGAAAGTGAAGGGTTGGAAAAATATCTTTCAGGCAAATGGAAATTAAAAAAAAAAAAAGCTGGGGTAGCAATACTTATATCTGATAAAATAGACCCCTAAGTGAAGGCCATAACAAGAGATAAGAAGGCCA